TATCTGTTGTACTTGATACTTGGTATGTACTTGGAAGGGACAGGGAGGTGCCCTCTTAAGAAATTAAAACTAAGATTGCAGTTTGTTAAGCAATAGGCAGTAAGCAAAGGTAAAGATATGCAAAAGCAACTTAAAGAGACAAAAAGGCTCATAAGCCAGGGACTTCTCAATAATTTGGTAGACAGTAATAATTTTTTCCTCAAATGTGTCAATCAGAAGAGGAGGCTAGCTTGCCTCAAAAGAAGCAACAGAGAAAGATCTCGGTGTCCACCCCAAATCCATCTGCAAGAAGATAAAACCTTAGCTAGCAAATTGTATAAGTAAGACTATCTTTTCAGTGAGATGAGTGTATTAAGCTATTAAACAATCGATTTACCTAATTCCTTCTACTCTGATTCTCTTTAAGCAGCATTCTGATCATAATTTAGTTTCACGTATAGGTGTGTCTTCAGCGAGAGAGTGTGTGAGTCTTGTGGACCTAAATGCTTCTGATCCTGTGTACAGTTTTTTCTCATTATAAATGAATACATTTTCATTATGTCTCAATAGATAAGTTTTATGAGCTCAGTTGATGAAAGCTATTGTCTGAGAAAAGGGTCCACTTTTCACAAGAAGACTATATTAAGTTTCTGAGCCAAAAAAACTGAGAGACAAAACTGGTAAATTCACCTAAGCAAACAATACACACCTCTCAGTGTATTTAAACAGTATCCACCTTTTAATCTTGAACAGTCAGGTAGAATGGTCAATGAGGTTCTTTTCATTAATTCACACTTAACAATATCCTATTTTATTTTGTTTAACACAAAGGCCAAATTAGATACAGCTTTGCTTGCCAGCTGCTCGTTAAAACAGAATATGCATCCAGGCTCAGAGAGGTGCCTTTAAAATGCGTCACTTAAATGTTAGTGGAGTGCCACAACAGAGATAAACCTTGGAAACATTATGCTAAGAGGAAGAAGCCAGGCACAAAAGGCCACATATTGTATGATTTCACATGTGTGAAATGTACAAAATAGGCAAGGCCATAGAGAGAGAAAGGAGATTAGTGTTTGCCAGAGTCTGGTGGTTGGCAGGGGGGATAGAAGAATGAAGGCTAATGGGTACCGAGTTTTGTGGGTGGTGATAACATTCTGGAATAGTATAGTGATGATTGCACATCCTTATGAATATACTAAAAACCACTGAAATGCACATTTTAAAAGGGTGAATTTTATGGTATGTGAATTATATCTCAATTAAAAAAATGTTAATGGGGGCCATATCAAGGTTGTTGGATTTCAAGAGAGTTTCATTTTTACGTTTTACATTTCTGTATAGATTATTTATTTATTTTTATAGTGAACAAAATCAGAAATGAGTGATAAACCAGCTTTCATTAGAAGGAGGGAAAACTGGTTAAAACCAGGCCACTTAGAAACTTCGATATATGTTATCTGACCAATACCATACACGGGCTAGAAAAGTAAAACCTTTCAAACTCCATGTCAGTTCTCTTCAGCTGACATTGGTTCTTATCAACAACACACTAAGTGCAAAGTTGTGTAAATCCTTGGTCTGCCCCCCTTATGGAATAGTATATGCTGATATAGATATTTATACAAGATTACTAAAATTTAAGAACTTTAGTCATCCATTTCTTCAATAAATATTTCTTGAGCACCTACTATATGACAAGAACTGTGTAAGACACAGAGATGAAACACAGTATGAGCAAGCACTAAGTTCTTCCCCAAAATGTTCCTTATCAAAGGGTCAAAGATGAAGAACTAGATTGTAAAATCTATTGAATTGACCTGTCATAGCTCTTGATAAAACTTTCTATTCTGAATGCAAATGTTAAGGAAAAGGAAGAATTTTTTTTGCTTTTCTTCCCAACAGCCCCCGGTTTACACAGACACTGGAAATAGATGTGGAAAATAAACCCCTTGGCGAATACTAACCTATTTACAATGACACAAAAGTCTTGAGAGATGAGTTACCATGTTCTGTGGTGTTAATCACAGAAACCAGGATACTGATAATGTTCAAGAGTGAATTAACCATTTTCTGAACTTCATGCATCTTGTCCCACACAGTTGGAAGAGGCCATCAAAGCAATAATCTGTATCAGAGATTCTTATCCACTCGAGGGTTGCAGAACCTCTTTGAAAATCTGATTATAAAACCTCCCTCCTTTCTGAAAAATGCATATGGGCATATATAATTGAAAAATTGCATAAATTTCAAGGAGTTTGTATTTTTCTTGATAACCATCCATAGATTCCTGAAGTATTATAGAGATCTTAAGTTAAGAATAGCTCACTTACAAGAATACCTTATTAGTATGGATTAATACATTTTTAGTTAATTCATTCAATCCATTAAATTCATTATTATACATAAAATGCTTAGAATAGTGTCTGTCTCATAGTAAGTATCCAATGAGTGTTAGAAAATTGTATTTTTATTGCAGTTATGTTGAGTTTCTCATATACTAGGCACTTTCTCAACTGCAAATAATAGCTAACATTTTCTGTGCTTTTTATAGGCCACACATATATTTAATTTAATACTTCTAATTATCCTATGCAGTAGACGGTTTAATGCTTAGGACTTTACCAATGAAGAAATCGAATATATAGAAGTCATCTTGCCCAATGCCAGTAGGATTTGTACTCAAATCTAGTACTTCGCTACCACTCAGTACTTCACTTCATTACTGGTAATGAAGTGGGCTCATACTCCAATCTAGAACTTCTGATTCCAGAGCCCAGCTTTTCATTCCCTGTGATGTGCTACTGTTGGTTGGTTTCATGCAGCCCATTCAAAACTTGTCTGGGATGGTTCACTTAGATCACCAAGGTGAATATATATCTCTTATAGGAAGAATTTTAGTTAATATCAACTCAGATCAAAGCTACAACCAGCGAGAGGCAAAGCTCCTACTTGAAGTAAATGCCATAAATTTGCATTGACAGTGTGCTCTAAGTGCTACCTTTTCGTAAAGTCAAGGAATATATAAATTATCATAAATATCTCTTGTCAAATGAACTCTCCCCTCTACTCACCTCACTAGAAAAGGCTGAATATTTCAATTCCTATAATTTTAATATTAAGAAATCTAGGGCACATTTAAAAGGTTATATAGTTTGCAAATGGAATGAGGCCTTGCACCTGTTTTTGCCTTATTACAGTGTAAGTCAAAGGAGTTATAGTCTAAAATATTCTTAGTTAAATCTCAGAGTTAGGCATTTTAAATCTAGAGAGATAATTAACACTCATTTTCCTTAAGAGTCAAGACAGGTTTTTTAAACTTAGAAGTCTAATATGTTCTGGTTTAAAATATTTCTTAGATGAAAAAGTATCTGAATCTTAAATGTTCAAATATAGAAAAAAAGAGAGAGAGATCTATTTACATTTGAATCGTCAGGAAAGCAGAAATATTTATGGAGGTATGGTCTTAGTCAGACTATGTTTCTGATCCAGTGACGAAACTAAAGTACAGATGGAAAGATAACCTGGCTTATCTATCATAATCAATTGAATATCCAAGAATCTGAAAAGTTAGGACTTTGGGAGTAAAGGGTTGGGCAAGAAAGGAGTGGAAGCTTCTGTGTTAAGTAGAATTCTGCCTTTTGGAATTTCCAGGATTTTTTTTTTTTTTTCCCTTACTATTAAAGCAAACAATATCAGTGGAACTCCTCTTTTCTTTTACTTCATCCTACTCCCCGAAAAACACATTTGTAATCCCACCTCTCCAACCAACTAAATTGTTATTGTCTTCACGTGTTCTACCAGGCATTGCATTTTTAAATAGTCATTGGAACAAATACTTTTGTGAATAGCTATGTGAGATTCAAAAAATAAAGGAGGTTAAAATATGATGTGAATCCTAGGGAAATACCTATGTAGAGAAGTGTGTGGGGTGGGGGCAGGGAGAGGTCCTGAGAAGAAAAACAATGAAACCTCCTACTATAATCTTCCTTGTCAAACACTTTCATTAGTTGTAGATACCTGCCTGCCTCCTGGGAGGGAGGGGAGCAGGCAATGTGCCCTAGAGCCTCAAATTTCCTGGCGTCCTTTCCCCCAGTTTCTATCCTGACTTATGTCTTGGGCAGGGTCTGAGCTGGATTGGAGAGGATGGAGAAGGACTGCTGTAGCCACTCTCTGGACTATTTCTGTGGTCTAATGGGTGTGTAAGTAGGTGAGTTGTCCTAAAAAGCTATTCTAGCTGCCAGAGTTCTTAAGACGAGAAAGACAGAGGCATAAAAAGGGGCCTGAAAATAAGGAACTAGATGCTTTTGTGTGGCAGAGAGGCAAATAAAGACTTACCATATGCTACTTCTGCACTCTCTTCCTAACCAGTGTGCCAGGGTGCTCTGGTGTGACCTGAATGGATCACAAATGTGCCCAGATACAGATCCCCTCAGCCCATGAGGCAGCTGGATGGCATTTACCCCAGTTGATCACACAAAGATGATCATTTTCTATGAGTCCAATGATGCAAAATAGATTGGGAAGCACTGCCCATATAGCACATGGTCTATACCTCTATCGTAGCTCTAGGTAATTTCTATTAATCAAGCACATTAAGTGCTTCCAGGAACTTAACATATATTAATTCATTGAGTCTTCATAGCAAGTTGCAAAGTATTTATTATCCTCATTTTATATATGAGGAAACAGAGGCCCATAAAGATAAAGAAACATGCTGAAGTCCAGCAAAACAGAGCAGGGAACAGGAGAACTCCGGTTCATCTTATTCCAGATTCTATGATCGTCCCACACTCTTCGTAGACCTGACTCTAACAAACTGCTTCTTAGAATCCTTTCTTTCCCCCTAGACTCTGAGCTTCTTCAGAAGAAGGAATATGTCATATTCATATAGGGCTACTTAGAGCCTGGCACATATATCCAAGTTACTTAAATATTGAAGACTTACTGTGTGAAGCCTTCAAGAATTCAAAGAATAAAGTGTTTCCTATAGACAGAACCAATGAGACATTTCCCTACTACACGGTGATAAATAAATGGTAAGGAATAGGATATATTGGAGCATATGAGGAAGCCATTTGGTGTAAAACTAATTAGGCCTGACCTTGTTTTACCAATAAGGGGTCTGTGCTCTCGAATATTCATTGTGTATCTGCTTTAAGCAATTAACACGTCCCAAGGAGAAGAATAAACACCCTTAAGATAAGGATGCAACTTCCCCCACATTGGCATTTCCTTAAGGATAAGCATTTCTCCCTAGGCTAAGGTTTGATTGCTGCCTTCATCCTGTGATCACCCAACTCAAGACAACAGACCTGCCACCAGCCATGCCCATGGAGACAGCAGACCTGCTACTTGCTATGTCCTTCAATGGCTATTCTGGCATGGTGATCTGGCAGATCGATCTTGTGGCTATTGTAAAAGGGACATTGCAATCATATGTGATATATGCTCTTTGACGGTATATAACTGTTCTGTACACCCCACTTCTTTGGTGCCCCTCCTTCCTTAGGGAAGGAAGGCCCTGGGCTATATAGTCCTCAAAAGTTGGCTCATAATAAACTCGCCCCAATTTTAATTTATAGATTGATTATGGATTATTAAGGTCAAAAGGGGTTGCAGGAATATTTCCCTATTTGTCCTTTCATCTAGGCTAGTAAAAGCACACATGACAAATTGCCCTGAAGTATTGTTCTACCCTGAAATCTGCTGAACAAGCTTCCCTTTCCAGTTAGTCACCCGCCACCCACCCTACACACACACACACACACACACACTCACAAACACACTCAACAAAAGAGAGTTATTCCTCTCATCCAACCTGAATTTTACTGTGGGGCTCTGCACCACGTTGTGAAACCTCTGGACCCCAAACAAAGGGACAATTCAAGAATAAACAGCTCCTGAAAGAAGTTCCCATTACAAAAAAGCAAAATGAGACAAGGTAAGAAATACTCCAAATGTAGCACCTTATTTCAGCCTGGTGATAAATGTATGGCAAGACTCTGGGTCTTATCTACCTACCTCTCTTAGAATTAGAATTAAGTAATGAGGTGGTTGTCAAGGAGATGCATATTAACACATTTATCTGCTTTGAAAAATGAACTCAGATATAGTCAGTCAGAAATAACTCTGATTCAGCTGAATGGTTGACCAATTTGGTCAGCCAACCAATGGTTGACCAAAGGTCTGGCTTTTTTTTCCTTTTGGATTAAAATGTGAATATTTTCCATAAACTGAATGAGGGAAATCTATAGTTCAAAGTTTTGAGGAAAATATATTTAACGAATATAAACAGTATGTTGGGAATTAAACATTACAATTAGTAATTATTGAGAGTTTAATTAAGCTACCTCATGGGATTGCAGTCTCAGCCTCCATTTTGTTTGGCCAAGTGGACTGCAGGGGTCTTAAACTGACATTGGCCCCACAAGCAAGTGCATGCCTTAGATAATAGCCTGCAGAGTCACAAGTAAATTGCGTTCCTGATGTGACTTCCCTACGGCCCTCGTGATAAACAGTCTTCTCCACCTCCCAGAGTCTTCCCCTTGTGTGCCCCTTAGATAAGACCCCATAGAGCTGATTTGAATTGACTAATTCAGCCTTAGCCGGGGGGACTCCAAAGTGCTCCACTCAGAGACCCTAATAAAGGCAATTGTCCCAGGTCCTGCCTCTCTCTCTGCCTGCACCCTGCCTTGACCTCCCCTTGTGGCCCCTTGAGGCATGCTATGCACTTCCTCCAGGACCTGTGAGCCATAAACTTCTCTATTTCAATTCCCATTCTCTTTTGTTGAACTTAGCTCACCATCCAACACCCTAGGACTCTACTTAACAAATGTTAATTTAATAAAGTCACAACAGCAAAAAAAATTAGATGTCAATTTAAAGGTGTGAAGGGGCAAACAGTTATTTTAAATAATATTTTATGAGTTATACAAACAACAAAAATGTGTAGACAACTTAGACCAACTATGAGACTGCAATTAGACCTGAGAGCAATTATTTAAAAATGATGCCAGCAAATGCCTTTTCAGAATAGGGTGGCCCCATCCTTCTTGGTTAAAGCAACTGAAGAATGTTTAGCTATTTAGCCTAAAGAAGAGCTCCCCCTGATTATTTTAAAGACTGTTTTTGAGGAAATGAAATTAATCTTCTTTCAAATTTTCTAGAAGGCAGAACTAGAACCAGTAGGTTAATTACTTTCGACAAAGCAGATTTCAGCCGATTATAAGTTAGAACTCCCCAAAAATGTAACGGATTTCTGACTCTGAATGTGTTTGAGCAAAGATTGGAGAAACATTCCGAGGGCATGGTGTGGTAAGCTAGGTCATCTCTAGCTTCCAGGCATGAGAAAATGTAGCCGGTACAGTGACTAGCTAGTCTTGAACTTGTCCTTAAACCCTCTAGAAGGAAAGTAAATCAAACTCTTTTTTGTAAGGGTTGGTTTTTCTCTCCTTTCTGAGGATCCAGTAGTGGAGAATTAGTGATATCAGTTTCTTTATTATATAGCAATACCCACAGGCAAATGAATTTGATATTATGAAGTCCTTATAGATGACCCAAAGCAAAGAAGCTTGGGATTCAATTACCTTTCCACTTCAAAGGAACTTCACAACAGCAAAGTACCAGGCAGCATCATTTCACAACTCTTTTTTTCTGTCATCGAAGAGATTTTCCAAGTTCAGTTCTCTCCTGTTTGGGGTATGAGTGTTATTTATTCCACTTGCTTAAAACAAAAACTCACAGCCAACATCTTCACAAGGGGCCTTTTGTTCACTCTGTAAATAAACTCTTTGCTGGCTGCAACTCCTTGGCTGCCACCTCTGGAAATGTTGCCACCACCACTGCTCCTCGCCTTCCCCCTACAGTCTCTGTTTCTGACTCTTTTGTTGTTTTATTCTCTTAGAAGTTATTTCCACCATATTTTTTATAAAAGTGATGAAGGGAAAAGGAAAAAGATGAGAAAGCAGGGAGAGACAAAAAGAAACTGAAAGTTGTCTTCCATTTTTGAAAGGGTTCTTTATATTGAAAAACCTATGTCATAGGAGTGTGCCCTTGGATGATGCTGTAATTCTGTTGGTTTTCTGAAAATGGAGAAACTCCTGTGTTATTTTCTATGTTTGTACAAATAAATTCCAAATTTCACATCTATTGCTAACTGACTGGCTTAATTGGATGCATATCAGTTGGTATATAAGCGCCACAGAACTGTGGGAGCTGATAGGTACATTTATTCAATCAACAAATATTTGTTGAACTTCCTGTAGCCATACTTTAGGTGGTAGGGATAGGGAAGTGACTGAGGTCTCTGTCATCATGGGGCTTAGTTTCCAGTGGGCAGGTGCACTAAATGTGTTTTATCACACACAAAATCAGTGTTGAAGTTTGAGAAAGAAGACACAGTGTAAGCAACTCCTGGTTCTTTTAAGTTAAATTATGCATACCCAGTCTCAGGTAAGGGCAAAATACTCACCTGCTCTACTTCTAGATTTTATGCTAATTTCCTCTCATCTTAGGGAGCGAATGTGTGTTGTGGTTGGAAGAAAAAGCAAACTGGAATTAGATGAACTTAAATGTGAGTTTTATTTATAACATATTAACTGTCAATCAGCAGTGTTACATTTTCCTTTTCCTTTAAGTGGGGATGATAATAGATACTTCACACCGTGATGAGAATTTAGTGAGACAAAATACGTAAAATATGTACAGTGTCTTGAACATAGGAGATGGTGAATAAATGCTGCTTCTGATTTTTCTTCCCCTTACCTTCTTTTTCTTCCATTCTTTGCCATCATGACAGGCAGACATGGAGATATACTCAGCATTGAAAGTGGGGCAATTTGATTAGGTTTCTTTCCTTTTCCTTCATCATAAGCCCAATGTGCAGACTGTGGAGTCCCCAGGAGACACGAAAGCATGGCATTCACCACAAAATAATTATTTAATTTTAAGTATTTCTTTCAACAGTTTTTTCTTGGCTCAACTTAAAGTTTGTGTTTTTTTTTCATTTACAAGTCAAAAGGGCTCTAAGCTTGACTGAATGCTTATATCTGCATACTTATTAGCATCTCTAAGGCCCTGTCACTAGGGAAGACAAGGAGGGAACTGTTCCATTTTGATTATTAGGAATATTTCTTCTTCTTTTTTTTTTTTTTTTTTGTGAGGAAGATCAGCCCTGAGCTAACATCCGCCAATCCTCCTCTTTTTGCTGAGGAAGACTGGCCCTGGGCTAACATCCGTGCCCATCATCCTCCTCTTTATATGGGACGCCGCCACAAGCATGGCTTGACAAGTGGTGCATCGGTGCGCGCCCGGGATCCCAACCCCGGGTCACCACAGCAGAGCGTGCGCACTTAACTGCTACGCCACCTGGCCGGCCCCAGGAATATTTCTTTAACAAGAAGTATAGAGGGTGCTGTGTTGCAGTGGGCTGCCTGGTCCAAGGTCAAGCCCCCCTCACTGTAGGCAGCAGGAATCTAATGACTGTTCATTGCGGGGACACAAAGGCCTTGCTCTCTTGATGGAACCTAAGACTAGTCTGAAGGACCATCCTAGGTGGGGTTGGCTAAAGCCATGTTGTGACTGCCTCACAGCTCAACGTCTCCTCTGCCTCTTCCTGCTTCCTTCCCCTCTCCCACAGCTGTTGCTTGAGAGAACGCACTCCAGTGAGCTTCCTATACACTAATCACCATCTCAGAGGCTGTTATGCTGGGAAACTGACCTGCAACAAAGTGTCATATCTTTTCTGTCCCACTCATTGTCATCAGTGTCCTGCTCAGATTCATAATCAGGTGTCAAGTCCATAACTCAAAATCACATGGTAGTATATTCATATAATGGAATTCTGTACAGCAATCGGAACAAACAAATGATGGCTGCACACAACAACCTGTATGAATCTCATGAACCTATTATTGAGACACAGAAGCCAGACACAAAAGAGTATTCATATGATGCAAAGTAAAAACTGTATCAACAGGAAAAACTAACTTAAAGTTATCAGAACACAGGGTAGTGGTTACACTTGGAGGGAGAAGTAATGATTAGGAGTGAGCATGAGAGAGGTTTCATGGTGCTGATAATGTTCTTTTCTTGATCTGGGTGCTGGCTACACAAGTGTGTT